TAGAATTCCATTCTGTAAATGTACCATAGTTTTTTGATCCATTCATTTACTGATGGGCATCTAGGTTGCTTCCAAATCTTGGCTATAATAAATTGTGCTGCTATGAACATTGGTGTGCATAGGTTCTTTTGGATTGATGTTTCAGGGTTCTTAGGATATATTACTAAGAGTGGAATTGCTGGGTCAAAAGGCATGTTCATTTTTAGTTTTCTTAGAAAATTCCATACTGTTTTCCATAATGGTTGTACCAGTCTGCAATTCCACCAACAGTGGACTAGGGTCCCATTTTCCCCAATACCTCTCCAACATTTGTTGTTTGTTGCTTTATTTATGATGGCCATTCTGACTGGTGTAAAGTGGTATCTCATTGTGGTTTTAATTTTTATCTCTCTAAATGCTAGTGATATTGAGCATCTTTTCATGTGTCCCTGGATCCTCTGTATATCCTTCTTGGAGACGTGTCTGTTCAAGTCCTTTGCCCATTTTTTAATTGGGAGGCAGGCTTTCTAGAGAAGTTTTCAACATTTATTCTTTACACCAGGTATTTGTTTTAAAAAGTATCTTTGGATTTTGAAAAGTAAATATCAGTTACAAAATTAATTGAGACTTTGAGTTCCAGCCAAGATAGAGGTGTCACTAAAAACCCTTTGCCTCCTCTCGCAACCAAAAGGAGGATAACAACCAATCTAAAATCAATAAACAACCAGAAGCACCAGAAAAATTAAATTGCATGGAACTCTGACAACCAAGGAATTAAAGAAAAAATCAACCAGAACAACCACACCAGTGTGCTAAGACAAAGAAATATGGCCCAAATGAAAGAACACAGCAAAACCTCAGAACTAAGTGATGAGGACATTGCCAACCTAACTGATAGAGAATTTAAAGCCCTGATAATCAAAATGCTCACAGAACTGATTGAGCTTGGTCACCAAATCAAAGAATAAATGAAAGATACCCAAGATGAAATAAAGCAAAATATTCAGGGAACCAACAGTGACAAGAAGGAAACCAGGATTCAAAGCAACAATTTGGGACAAAAGGAAAAAATAAACATCGAACTGGATCAGGACAAAGAAACAAGAATCCAGAAAAATTAAGAGAGGCTGAAGACTCCCTAGGACAACCTGAAACATTCCAATATCTGAATTACAGGGGTGCCAGAGGAGAAGAGAAAGACCAAGAAATTGAAAACTTACTTGAAAAAAATAATGAAGAAAAACTTCCCCAATCTGGCAAAGGAAATAGACTTCCAGGAAGTCCAGGAAGCCCAGAGAGTCCCAAAGAAGTTGGACCCAAAGAGGAACTCAAAAAGACACATCATTAAGTTACCCAAGATTAAAGACAAGGAGAAAATCCTAAGAGCAGCAAAAGAAAAGGAGACAGTTATCTACAAAGGAGTTTCCATAAGGCTATCAGCTGATTTCTCAAAAAAAAAAAAAAAAAAAAACCCAAAACCCTTATAGACAAGAAGGGGCTGAAAAGAAGTATTTGAAGTCATAAAAGGCAAGGACCTACATACAAGATTACTCTATCCAGCAAAGCTTTCATTTAGTATGGAAGGGCAGATAAAGTGCTTCCCAGATAAAGTCAAGTTAAAGGAGTTCAACATCACCAAGCCCTTATGATATGAAATGTTAAAGTGCCTTATCCAAGAAGACAGATAAAAAATATGAACAATAAAAGGACAACAAACTCATAACTATCACCAAATGAACCTAAAAGAAAAGAAAAACAATGAAAACAAAAACTAACCAAACAGCCACAACAGGAACAGAATCAGAGAAATGGACATCACATAGAGGAAATTCAGTGGGAAGAGGGTACAAATAGTGGAGGAAATGTACAGGGAAAAAGAAGCATAATTAGTAGGCATAAAATAGACGGGGAAAGATAAAAATGGTATAGGAAACAGAGGCCTTAAAGAACTTATATGTGCAACCCATGGACATGAACTAAGGGTGGGGGAAAGGCTGGAGGGTTGCAGGGGCAGGGTGGATGGGGTATAAAGGGGGAAAAACCGGGAGAACTGTAATAGCGTAATCAATAACAAATACCTAAAAAAATTAATTGAGGGACTTCAAGCCAAGATGGGGGCATAAGTGGAAATACTGTACCTCCTTGCACATCCAAATTTAAGGGCAGCAAAGATTTAGAAACAAAAACACAACAAAAAACAGACAGAAAAGTAAATTGTACCAAAGTCTGACAACAACGAACTATTCATCCAGACAGGTAAGAGAGGTGGAGTCAGCGGCTGGTGGAGTGGGGTACCAGCAGAGAAAGGCAGCCGGACTGACCCAGGTGCACAGGCAGCAGTCGCTGCCAGATACTTGCACAGGGAATAAACAAGCAGACCCAATGAGACATGCAAGGCAGCTGGCTGACCACGGACACACATTCATGTGCAGATAAACCAGGCAGGTTTACAAATGGTCAGTAAGACAGACTGAGCAACCCAGGACCCCAGCGATGGGAAATAAAGCTTAAGAGCACCAAGTGAGAAAACTTTTAGGGGTTGAGGTGCCAGGAGAGGTATCTAGCGCCACAAGAGAGTTCGTTGGAGAGACCCACAGAGTCCTAGAATGTACACAAGCCCACCGACCTGGGAATCAGCATCAGAAAGGCCCAGTTTGCTTTCGGAAAGTGGCAGAGGGGACCAAAATCATACAGAGAGAAGAACAAATGCCACTGCTCTCTCTCTGACCCTGCTCCCACATATAGCATCACAACCCAGTGACCTGGGTCGCCCTGTCCTGTTGAACATCTAAGGTTCCACCCCTCATACATAACAGCACGAGCAGACCAAAACATTATGGCTCAAGTAGAAGAATAGCTCAAAGCCCCAGAGCCAATACTTCTAAGTGACCAAGAGATAGCCAACCTATTGGATGTACAGTTCAAAACACTGGTAATCAGGATGCTCACAGAACTGGTCGATTTTAGTCACAAATTAGAGGAACAAATGAAGGCTATGCTAAGTGAAATGAAGGAAAATGTTCAGGGAACCAATAGTGATGGAAACAAAACTGGGACTCAAATCAATGGAGTGGATCAGAAGGAAGACAAAAAACAACCAAACAGAAAATAACGAAGAAACAAGAATTCAAAAATTGAGGAAAGGCTTAGGAACCTCTAGGACATCTTTAAACGTTCCAAAATCTGAATTATAGGGGTACCAGAAGGGGAAGAGGAAGAGCAACAAGTGAAAAATTTATTTGAACAAATAATAAAGGAGAACTTCCCCAATCTGGCAAAGGAAATAGACTTCCAAGAAGTCCAGTAAGCTCAGAGAGTCCTAAAAAAGGTGGACCCAAGGAGGAACACGCCAAGGTACATCATAATTACATTAGCCAAGAGTAAAATGAAGGAGAGAATCCTAGAAGCAGCAAGACCTGAGGGGACAGTTACCTACAAAGGAGTTCCCATCAGACTGTCAGCTGATTTCTCAAAACAGAGCTTACAGGCAAGAAAGGGCTAGAAAGAAGTATTCCAAGTCATGAAATCCAAAGACCTACATCCAAGATTGCTCTATCTAGCAAAGCTTTCATTTAGAATGGAAGGGCAGATAAAGTGCTTCTCAGATAAGATCCAATTCAAGAAGTTCATCACCACCAAGCCCTTATTATATGGAATGTTAAAGGGGTTTATCCAAGAAAAAGAAGATAAAAAAAATAAACAGTGAAAGGACAGCAAACTCACAGTTGTTAACAACCACACCTAAAACAAAAGCAAACTAAGTGGACAGCTAGATCAGGAGTACAACCCTAGAAATGAAGATCACATGGAGGGTTAGCAACAGGGTAGTGGGAGGAGGACAAGGGGCGAGAAGGTACAAAGAATAAGTTGCATAGGCGGTAGGTAGAAAATAAACAGGGGGAGGGCAAGAATAGTATGGAAAGTATAGAATCTAAAGAACTTGTGACACATGGGCATGAACTAAATGGGGGGAGGTGTGGGGAGGAGGTGTGCAGGTAAAGTGGAATGAAGAGGGGGAAATGGGAAAACTGTAATAGCATAATCAATAAAATGTTTTTTAAAAAATTGAGACTTGGCTTAATGAGAAATAGGAAATGAAATGTTCCAAATTAGGAATTATTATAACTTTAATATTAGCTAAAGTTCATTGTGTTGGCCACCATGCTAAGGAATTTACATGCTTTAGAAGGTACCATAATTCACCCAGTTTTTACAGGCAAAGAATCTGTCCACAGGCACTTAAACCTACTAACCCTCACATGTTCAGCCATGGAGACCCTCACTTCCCCTGGGGGCGGGCTGTTGGGAGACTGGGAAGAGGGAGGAGACCCAAGGTTCTGGTTGGAGCTTTTTAGTGCTGAAGCCTATGTAGCTACATAGAAAAATGTAAGGTTCCCATTGCACTGTATTTCATTGTTTTAGTTTGAAATTCATAAAGCAGGAAATTCAGAAGTACTAAGTATAATGTTAATACAGTAGTACTAGACAGATAGGCTTTACTAAATACATAAGTTATCTGTGGTTTGCCTCCAAAGAAAGTGGAGCCCTCGCTGGTCTGGCTCAGTGGGTTGGACAGCATCCCACAAACCTAAAGGTTACTGGTTAGATTCTGCGTCAGGGCACGTACCTGGGCAGTGGGTCTCTGGTTGGGAGCTTGCGAGAGGCAACAGATATTTCTCTTTCTTCCTTCCTCTCTCCCTTCCCTTATCTTTAAAAAATTAAGAAATTAAAAGTTTAAAAAAACAAAAAGAAAGTGGAGTGCCACAAAAAAAAGGGACAAAGGCAGATGTCTGAGGCTCCAAGGGAGACCATCCTTCATGTGGCTCTGGGCTGGAATCCAGTCTTCTGTGTCATCATACCTAATAAAATGACAGCCACAATGACAAAAATAACAAACCTAAGGCAGAGAACCAGTAATATTTGTTTAGGGAGAGAGAGAGGAGGGACTAGGCATTTCTCATAGTTCAGAGTGAAGTTCTCAACAAATTAACCAAAGCTACTATTGTTTAATTTTTTTTCTTACCACTCAGACTGTGTTCTCTTCCTCTTACTCTTCCAAAGAAAGAGAAGAACGATCATCAATGGTTATTGGCAGTTGCAAAAGCAACACCAAATGCTGGCTTCACTCTCAGAAGAGAACACTGTGCTCCTCCTTGTGGTTTCGGGTGCTCTACACATTCAGAGAAACTTCTCTAGTAACGAACTATAGAAATGATTTCTAAAAGTATAGTCTTACTATTGTTTAATTTTTTAAAATCCCTGCCAATGTTCTTCCCAGCCTTCACCGTGTCCTCTTCTCTGCCTTCTTCTCCCGCAGCTCTCTCTTGGGCCCTGTCCCCTGATTTCCTCTTCTTCTCCAACCTCTGCTTCAGCCCCTCAGGGTTCCTCTCTCTGGCTCCCTTTCTCTCATCTGTGATTTTGCATTTTCATCTATCAACTTGCTCAACAAAAAGAATCTAAGGATTCCTCCATCCAGTAAGAAATCTCGAGATGGCAGGAGAGAATGTCCCTCCTAATGAGGTAGCCTATGTCCCCTAGCCACACTTGTAACAGCATTAAGATCAGCGAACAGGAGGTTCCCATGCCAAGCCAATTATCTCTCTAACCTGCCCTTGGATCTTGAAGAATAAGTTCAGCATGAAGGACTTGGATCTCCATTTTTTCCCCATGTTTGGAAACAGAACAATACTGAAGCACTGCCGTCTATACATGGAGAAACAGAGATGCTAATGTTCTCTCTCTTCACGGGGAACTCAATTCTTGCTGATCCAGGCTGACAAGGGGAAGGAGTCCTTCTCAACAGATACTGGAAAGGGGAGCAACTCTTGGCCACATCACCTAGCTGCCCAATGTGAGTGACTTTGTCTTCTCTTCCACGTCCTGTGACAGGCACCTCTGAGAGGGTGCCCCTGTCACTTTAATGTTGTCATTAAATGTCTTAAACCATCTCCAAAGAGGTGTGCTACTTTACCACACACACACTTATACATATGCAGTATACATGAGGGCACTCCTGTCATTACATGGGTTCCTGGTCACCACTGTCAGTGGGAAGTAAGGCGAGCCTGGGAGCCGAGGGTAAGATCAGCCCTGAGGGTGTTGGAGGCCAGTGGAAGGCTCTGTCTCTGCGGAATCTTACACCTCCAATGTCAGAAACCACCGAGCTTCCCAAACCTGCAGTAGCTAACAGGAACCCTACACCCCCATCAGCACTCACAGTCTCCTTCCATGTCTGTCACAGGAACACAGGCCTAACCTCATCACTGCTTCATTTTTGCAAGTGTCAGCCACCACGTCTAGGACCCCCATTGTGCCTTGCCCTCATCTCTTCGTGGCTTCGAAGATGGCCTTCTCCAACGCAGTCTTTTATGCCCCTGCAATTGTTGGAAGCCCTTTTGTGTGCTTTCTATGACCCAGAAGTGGTGATAACGAAATTCCCTGTATCCTCTTTCACTTCTCTGAGCATTTCCTTCATAGTTTGCTCTAAAAGGACCTGACACTTAGTTGAGGACACTGCTTTCCCTGCTGGGCGCCAGGGAGCAGTTATTTTCTTTTCCACACTTTCACTTCCCTGGCCTTGGAAGGGAAGCAGCATCCTCCTGGGCCTGCGTGGTTCAGTTCAGACCAATCTTCCTCCATCCCTAAAAGTCTCAGGTTTTGCAACTCACTTCATAAGGATGTAGTATGTCCTGGCTCTCTTTATTGCCATCATCTACAACTGCTGGGACATCACCTCTTTGCCCTGAGGACTTTATTACTTTACAGTAAGTAAATCTTTACCCCTTCCCGGTTATGACCATGCCCATGCAAATGGTCTATTTAATACTCTGGCCTCTCAATCCTTGATATATTCCCCACTATCTTAGCTCAACTGCTTGTATCCTTAGTCATACCCTTGACCTTGTCTCTATAAATAACGACAACACCCATAATCTCAATTTCAAAGATGCTACCCTCTGATCTCCTGTCTCTCTAGCTCTCTCCCAACAACACTGCTGCACCAACCCTGAGATACTCTAGGACTTTCGAATCCTCTATCCTCTCACCCTTCCTTTCCTAGCTTAACTCCCTGTCAGTCACACTGCTTCCCAGGAAATGTCCTCAGCTCCCTCCCCCGTCTTCAACTCTGCCCCTTGGTTATACCTTAGGTCATGTTAATTTCAACTCTCTGCAGCCAAAAGGGGCTAAAAAACACACAATTATGCTAACTGGTCTCACTTTGAAAAACATCATCACTAACCTCAGATGGGCGCTGGTAGTTGCCTAGCACTCACACTATATTCCTTTGCTCCACTTGCTTAGCCACTCAACCAAATGATTGATTCCTACTCTCTGCTCCACCAGAACATTTTGGCAGGCTCCCTCCATACCTGCATCTTTGCCCACATACTGTGCTTAATCTCCTGGTGCCACACATGGAAAATCCTTTTGGTTCTTCTCTTTGGCAACATTCACATCTGCATATAACTATGCTACTACTTCTTCCAGCTTCATAACAAATCCATGAGTATTGTGCTTTTCTCTTTCCCATTACAACAGAACCTCTTTGAACTGTTGTCTGACACACTCCCTTCCTGGTTTCATTCCTCTTACTTACTTGAACCTATTCAAACAGCTTTTGGCCTCCACTGTTCCATTAGAAATATTCTCAGAAAAGTCACCAAGAAACTCCATGTGTCTAACCACAAGCTTCGTCCTCATCTTACTTAACCTGTCCATAGGTGATGGATTAAAGTAGAAGTATTGGTATGAGTTCATACTTTTAAACAATATATAAACAGAGGTAGATCCAGAAATAGTTACACTCAAACACACACACCTATATGGGCATGTGTTTGTGTGCACACATACAGGCATATATCTCCTAGCTCCGTCTGCTGAAAGGGTCCAAAAGCAGTAACCCCTTTGTAGCAACTGGCACATTACAAATCCCGATCTGGTTTCTAAATACCACCCTGCACTGAAAGAAACCAAGGCTCCCCCTGGGATCAGAATGGACAGAGTCACCTGCTGCTACTCTGCCCCTGGGGCATCCTGTCCCATCAATGCTGGCCTTTGAGCTGATGGTAGGACCTGCGTCTCTGCACAGCTCTGATCTGTGTTCCGCCCCTAGAATGTTCTTTCCCCAGGTGCCTACATGTTCACTCCCTCGCCTTCTTCCTACCTTCAATCAAAAGTAACCCTCCCAGTGAGAGCCCAGATTTCAACCCCTGACCTTTCTCCCCACTTTCTCCATAGCACTTATCACTCTGGGACACAGTATTTCACTGTTTTTTTAAAAATATTATATCTGTTAGAATATAAAACAGAGAAAGGTAAGAACTTGCATTTTTTTTAATACTACTGCATCCTCAGAGCTAAGAACAGGGCCTGGCACACAGTTGGAGCTCATAAAATATTTGTTGTTCAATAAGTGATATCCAAGTGCCTAACACATTGGTGATCAATGATGTTTTCAACTAATAACCGATTGACTTACTGACTGAAAAAAGGAACAAACTTAAATGCATGGAATCAGAGAATGTAGAGCTGAGTGGAGCATGAGAGTTGAGAGATCATTTGCTTCTACCTCCTAGTTTCCCAGACAGGGAGACCAGGCCCATCAACTCTCACACCCCAGGTGAGGAGCAAGGCCAAGGTGGTTCTCCAGCATTCTGGCCTCTGAGTCCAGGGCCCCACCACATTGGTAGAGCAGTTTTAGGAAAAAAAATATATATATTTCTAATAGCCTAACTTTAATTGCATATGCAGATATTTATGGAAATAATTGAATAAATCACTCCAAATCTTAGGGCAGTGGCACATTCTCAGGGTGTGAGTGTAAGGGAGCACCTGGCATTGGACAGGTTCATTGTCAAAGTTCTTGCTATTGCTGTGGTAGCTGCTCAATAGTGCTTCTATGTGCATGAGCTAAGTGATCTTTCTAATTGAGCTAAGCTGCTCATCTTTCTAAGCTTAGAAAGGGTGATCTTTCTAATTCCACTAAGCTGCTGAAGCTAATAAAATAAAGATCTTTTTGCTTCTCTAGCAGCCCCGTTGATGTGGAGATGTTTTTCTGTGTTCTCTTGCACCAAACCCTCCTGCTTCTTAACTATCCAGAAGGTGGAAAACCAAAAGCAAAGAGCATTTGTGCCCAGCCCCTACTGGAACAGGGGGAAATAGTTTCCAAGCTATTTCTATTTTTAAAAGAGTCAATAAGTAGAAAACCTGTTTAGTATCAATCCTTCTCTATTATCTGCCAATTAAAAGTGACTTGGAAACAATTAGGCAACAGAGGAATTCTGAGCATTCGTGATGGTGGTGGTGACGGACCACTTGCTAGTTTTTATTCATTGTACACCTTACAAAAGAATGGACTGTTTTTTTAAAAAACAAGTATAAATAATGGTTTGGGCCTGATAGGGACTTAATGATAACTCAGTGATTTGGTCTTATTATCCCACTGAGTAATAAGAAAACAGAGGTAAAAAGAGCTGTTTAAGGTCCCAGAGGTAGAAAGATTGGGTTTTAATTCAGGTCAGATTCCATTACCTAAGCACTTTTTACTGTTGTCATCATAAAGGAGAACTGGTATTCTCCTGAAGAGTAATACCAATAATTTTAAACTACCATTTTTAGAGAACTTGCATAGCTTTTGAAACATTTCAATTGGATTCCAGAGCACATATTCTCAAGAATGAACTTCTCTGGAGTCGCCAAAGCTGACCCCCTCTGGCAGCTTCAGTCTCCCACACAGTCCCAGGCAGCTAAGCATCTTGGCCACTGCTGAACAGTGCGTCGAGGTGGGGATCTGTAGCCACATCCCACGTAGGTCTCGGTGCAACTGTGCTTATTAGCACAGTCATTTATTTTGACCTAAGTTCTGTATCTCTAAGGCTTTTGAGGTGTGGTCTTTAGAACCAAGACATACATAGGTCATCCTAACTATGCTCTAATCCTCTCACAGATCACTCTTCTTCTAGAGTGCAGGGTCAGAGCAGAATGCAATATTACAAAATCCCACTCTCAAATGTTTGGGGAGGGAGCTGGTCCAAAAATGCAAATGCGGTATCACCAGCCAAAAGGAGCCTGCAGTCCAAGGGTTCTGTGATCCCCTTGCACCCTCTCCTTACTGTGCTTTAGTGCCACCTCGTGGTGGCTGCTATGTGGCCACTACTGGGATGGGAGCACTGGGTGTTCATTCAGCTGGTTAGTAGAAAGATAGACTTGAACGTTTAACAACGACACAGGTAAG